AAGACACTAACTTGAATAAGAACAGCCACCTCAAAAAAAGTTCAGTACCTAACATTTGTCGTGATCACGGACTACATTATCTTTTCGCTTGTTCATAAACCATTGCAAAAAACATATTCCTGATAATCTCAAATATAAATTCTACCCACTATGCTTCTTAGACCATAACAGCTATTTTTTAACAAACATAATACAAAGCAAATGCCTTCCACCAGTGGCACAGTCAATGAGGAAATGCTAATTAGACTGCATGTGTACCGTTTTACATGTTCATTGTATGAAAAATAGTGGAGCGTTGGAGTCACGTACATATCTACGAGTAGTTAGTAAACACTACTTTCGTTAAGCAAATATCAAGGAGGATATTAAAATTATCATAAGCCGTTTCCTCGAGTGGTTAAGGTTTGATTCAAGTATTATTCGTTTGAGAGTGTTCTAAATTGTTATTTCTAGAATGATTCATTTAAAGGAAAAACTTTCTTCAGACTCAGGAACGATTTTGAAACTTTATTATAATCGATAAACAAAATATTGCAAAAATTAAACCAAAAAAACTAAACATGAAGTGGAAATTGAAATATTAATTAACAGACAAGAGAAAGCCATTAAATAACAGGAACTGTTCAATAATGGTGTTACAAGAGTGTTTATAGAAATTGTTGTGTCTTAATTTTTGACATCGTCCTCAATTATAACACACTTGGCCTCCTTTTCCATAAACCTGCCGATGCTCTTTACAGTTTTTTAACGAACTTTGCACCGCTTCAATTGTATTTTCATCATCTGCAATATAGTATAGAAAACCAGGCTTTAACAACAAAACTGACAGTTACTCTTACACACATTTGATAATGGTGTGCTTAAATGATGCTTCTTTGAATAGGACAATGGTAGAAATAGCTACACAATGTCAATGCATCAATCATTCAAATCTATAGAGCATGGTTGCAGGAGGAGAAGAGTAACTACAGCAGGTAAAAACAGAGTTACAGGATGAAGAGCCTAAAGAGAAAAATTCATAAACGCCACCACAAGAACTTCGTTTACCCAAACACTCCGAAATAGACTTACTGAAGCAGATTTTAGATGTAGACATCCTACTAGGCATTCAAAATATACCGGAGAACACTGAAGAAATCGTCTTATAGTTCGAGCTGGATTTGATGATCCAGATTGGGGTTTCCGTGAATACGATCATTGTTCAATGGAGAAACAAGACTTTGATCTCAGGCAACAACAAGATTCGTGTGTGGTGACGGCTCGAAGGAAGATATCAAGATGAAATAATGATGGGCCTTCTGTTGTGATTTCAGGTGGTGTCGTAACCAATCCTGGAAGACAAAATTGATGGGCAGACTTTACGTTGAAAATATATTTCAGAACCAATAGATTTACTATTAGCACAAAATTGTGGTTCGATTTTATTTTTGTGGATGAAAACGCTAGACTCCATGAAGCGAATATAGTCAGTGAATATTTTGAAACCATGAAAAAGGATATTTTTGTTGCCAGTTCAATCACCAACGCAGCATGCCTTACAGAACAGGGCAATTAAAAATTATAAAAAAAAATCATATTACCTGTTACATTTGAGTTATAGCAGCTCTAGGTAATAAAATTGATGAAAACTCAAATACATAGGGTGATCCGGAAAGCCTCTGTCCTAAAGTAGAATACAAGAAAATTGCATGGCTATTTTTCTCATCTAGTTCATCTAGTATAACACAAATACCAGTGGCAACTGATCAAAATCGAGGCATTTCCTTACAATTATTTTTAAGCATTTTATAGTAATTCGGAATGACTCCATTGTTTGGTTGTTCCAGTTCAAATTTTGAGTAGTAGGTACAGGCAATCTAAATTAATTTGAGACGAAATGGTAAAATGTCCAGTGGCAAAGTAGTAGAGTACAAAACAAGGCCCACCAGGGTTACCTGCTGCCTGCATTTTCATTTCATTCTACGTCAAATTCAATTTGCACCTTTCAGTGTTCAAGTAAAAATTTGTCCATATGTATATTTTCTGCAAATATTTAGTTTGTAATTTTGCACTGCTTAGAAAGTTTTTGATCCACAAGTAAGTTATGGAGATATATCACGAGGAGCATAATAAGAGAAGGACTGAGGAACAGTACAGGTTTTTTGGATGTCGTGCAACTTTCTTGTATACGTTTTGCTCCCTTAAACATTGTTTCTCTTCGAATCCTTAAGCATATTGGTAAATAACCCATTTTTTGAGTTGTTGACCATTTTCTCAAAAATAGTGAATACTGACGCTAAATTGACTTCAGATTTATGTTCAGCGGGTACGAAAATATATTAATTATTATTATTAGATATTTTCATTCATCTTTCCAAATTTGTTGGATATTTAGTTAAGTTGACTCATACTAGATGGCGGATCGGTAACAATTAATTTATGAATGAACGGTTGGGATGGGCTATCATGATCACTTATTGTGGACATTTATGGATATGTCCAAGTTAGTTCTGAGTTAATGGGCATAATAATTTACTACTAATATAAAATACACATTTACTTCCCATAATAATCAAAATGATTTGCCCAAAGTCGCAAGACTTGAACGAGAGAAAAATTATGAATATAATTCAAACGTATCTTAAAATTATACTCGTACAATGCTTGAATTAGTAACATAAAATTTTCAAAAAAACTTTTCTGTTATATTAATTTGAAACAAATAATAATTTGATTTAATAGTTTATACTAAAATTCTTCTTTTAAAAGAATTGAAGACGTTTGTACAGAGTTTTCCGCGGAAAATGATCGCCCAAAATCTTCTTTATTTTTGACATTAGGAAAAAAAATGTTCCACAAACTACTAGAATAGAACCTTAAGTTACTAGAATAAAGCTCAAATCATAAACAACCGAACTATTTATGTATTTGATAATATGTAATTGTATAAACTTTTTCTTTTACAGTTTAAAAATTCAGTAAGTACTAGTGGAAAAGTACAGAAATATTCAAAGGTCAAGAAGAGACAATACGTCGTAAGCTATGCGTCAATATTCTGTTAATACATACCAAATCCTAATATGGAATATAAAATATAAAACGGTATCGCCTTGTATCACTTTCACTCATCGTGATATCTTACAAGTTACATGTTTTATCACTTTAGAATTCTATATGCAGGGTATTTCTGAACTAAGTGCGTTCTTTGAAAAGGGCGATAGAGGGTATGAGTTTTATTAAACAACTGATGGTCAAAACACTTCGTTTCATATTGAAAAAAAAGTCCACATGAAGGTTTAAACAAATTTAAAGCCGTCCCTTGTACAGCAGCCAGCTGTACTTTTGATATCGAATCTTCAATCTGCCTTTTGCACTGTTCTACTGTTAAGTTAAGTAATACTGGGACACACAACGCACATGCACAAGATGCACGGGGTCGGCTTACATTTACGGTTAATTTTCTTAATTAATTTTCTTGAAAACAGAAGTATTTATACCATCAGTTGCTTAATAAAAGTTGCTCATTTTCGTGCCCTCTATCACCCTTTTCAAGGAACGCACTTGTTTCAGAAATACCCTGTATAATTGCTTAAGTACCACTTTAAATAAGTAATAATAACATTGAAATCATCAGAATCCTTCGAAATGTTTTAAAATATCTAATAACACTCAAATAGACGAACACAAGGCGGGTCCATACATACAGGGCGACTCAAAATAATAGTATTTAAAGTTACTTATTCAGGTTGTTTCATGGCGAACTGTACGTACTGTAATGGCAGAATTGGGCAACTTAAGGTAGTACCAAATGATCAGTAATAAAAGTCCTGGGTCAAAATTTGTTAATATGTGGGTGATTTTTTATTATCAATGTAATTTATTTTGCCTATGGTTTTATCATTTATGAAAATTAATTTATTACTGTCATACATCATGTACCTTTGAAGGCCAATATGCTCCTGAAGTCAGAATTTCGAAATTTGAGGACCGTATTCATCCAATATATTACCTTTATAAAAGTTTGACTGCTGATATTAAATAATCATTGCCAATTTCTCAATTTAAATTTAAAGTTAAAAAAGTTGTTTTAAATTCTCCTATACTCTAACATAATAATATTTTCCTTATTCTCTCATGCTGTGGAATACTTAATACTAAGATTGTATTTGTTTAACTTTTCTTTTTTTTGTTGTTTCTCTATAGAATTAGTTTTGTTCTGAAGTATGTAAGGCTGAAACTTGTTAAGTAGGTAACTCTTCTTACCATGTTGTTTTTCAGTCTTTTTTGCAAATTGTGAATTAATATAAATCTAATTTTTTGTTAACTGTTTTTTTTCTGCAAATAAATGTATTATTACTATTATTATTATTATTATCATTATTATTGAGAAAATTCCTATTGTTTCAGTCACTATGAGTTTGATTTTTTGTCATACTTTTCAAAATTTTAAATTAAAATTTATTCTTGTTACACTTTATCAGCTTTTCAATGTTATTTTGGATGTAAAGCTAATATTTTTTCAATTAATAATATTTAAACATTAATTTTTAGTTTCTTTAGATGATTATTATTATGAGAACACTTTTGAATTTATTTAAATTGGAATATTAAAACATGCATATTTTTTAAAAACCCGTAAAATTTGACAACCTTCTTTCACCACTGGCACTGGTTGATCTTATATTTAATTTCAAACACCTTGCGGCCTTCATATATTAGGTGGACATTCCCGGTATCTCGTAATCATCAAATTGCCTTTTGCCCTGTTCTATTGTTAGATTAAGTAATACTGCAATACACAACGCACGTGAACAAGATGCACAGGATCGGCTTACATTTATGGTTAATTTTCATATTAATTTTTTCGAAAACATAGCATTTAGACAGGACATAGCTAATGCAAAACATAGCCTTAATGTTACAAATGCTGTCACCGCCGTTCTTGTACTCTTATACGTCTAATTTTAACTACTTCCGTTGTCAAAACGTTACTCATACTCAAAATTTCTTGTAGGTCCGTTGGCCAGATGTGCGACGGTGGTTTCAGTGCCGCGGAGGGGCTCTCAAGGATGGCCTCCCTCGGGGGAGCCGCCTTGGGGGTCCCGCAAGGTCTGCAAACACCGCAGTCGGTCAAGAAGCAGGAGGACCACATCAAGCGGCCCATGAACGCCTTCATGGTGTGGTCCCGGTTGCAGAGGCGGAAAATTGCTCAAGAGAACCCCAAGATGCACAATTCTGAGATATCTAAAAGACTGGGTAAGTGGTTTACTAACATTCTATTAGTGCGATAAGTGTTGGAATGGCTTATGTAAATAATTGGACGCTTCTTAGTACTGTTCCATTTGCACATTTACCGTAATTAAGTTACGCGGTAATGGGGTATGGTGAGTAACGCAAATTTTGCACAAAGTAACGGTTCGTTGACTTATTTAATATACACTGAGCTCGTAAAGTTTGGAATAAATTCGATAAATCGTTATTGAAGGGTTTTGACAGGAAATCCTCGGACACGTCAACTTTAGTTTATAAAATGTCACTTTTTTCAGCCATCGACTTTTTTTTCGTTTTGTTTGTTTTTGAGCTATGACGTCATCGGCAATTTTTTTAAATGGCAACCCATATTTTTTTCCACGGATTTCGATAGATCACATTTTTCTGAGTACGAATATGTCAAAAACGTATGACCTTCAAGATGGAAGTTTTCGAGATAATAGACAGTTTAATTTGATTGTAGATGATCATGATACTAATTTGAGCATGCGCAATGGTCAAATTCTACGTATATGTTATGTCCGATACATAACTTAAACTGTCTATTAGGTTCCAAAGTTCCAAGGATGTCAAATATACAAGGTATCGAGTGGGTCAAGTTTTTTAATAGCTTATCGAACATTTTAAGAGATTTTAGGAGCAATTTGTTTAATTTTTTTAAACAATAATCAATAACAATTTTAACAAATGAAAAAAGGTTTCTGTACAAGTGATAAATAATTAAAGTAAACAAGAAAATTCAGCGGACCTCCATTCACTTCTTGGCAATATCCCATTCGCCACTGAAACTCCTGCAGAACCTTATGAAGAATATCTGGTTGAATGGTTCGAATTTCATTGCGAATTCTGTCCTTTAATTCTTCAATGGTATTTGGTCTATTGAAGTAGACTTTGCTCTTTAAATAGCCCCATAAAAAGTAGTCTAGGGGAGTGAGATCCGGAGATCTAGGGGGCCATTCGATAGTTCCTCTTCGACCAATCCAACGGTTAGCAAATATTTGGTTTAAATAGTCGCGAACGATCACTGCAAAATGAGGAGGTGCACCGTCTTGTTGGTACCATATCGTGTTATTGGGCAGATCGCGATCTACGTCATTTGGGTAAAGCACCGCAAGTGCAGGGACTAAATCGTCTCTTAAAAATTCAAAATATTTTTCGCCTGTTAATGCGCCTTCAATGAAAAATGGACCCAAAATGCGGTTACCGACAAGGCCAGCCCAAACGTTAACTTTTTTTGGAAACTGACTACGAGTTTCCATTTTCCAGTGTGGATTTTCAGGAGACCAATATCTACAGTTATGTAGGCTTACTGTGCCGTCGAAATAAAAGGTAGCCTCATCAGAAAAAAACAATATTGCGTAAGAATCCGCCGTCATCAATCAGGCGTTGCAACATGGTTTCACAAAACTGTAACCTACGGTCAGGATCATCTTCGTTTAATTGTTGGACCAAAACCACTTTAATTTCAAATATTTTAAGACGGAGCTTTGAACTATTCCGTTGTTTGCCGCCAGTTGGCAGGTGGGTAAATGGGGATTTTCTTGAAGCTCTAGTAGAACATTCAATTTAACATCTTCTTGTACTGGTGGACGACCCGTTCTAGGGCGATCTCTGTCATGACCCATTTCTGAGAGCTTTTGCTCTATTTTACTAACCGTGGACTGTGTAATTGGTTCTCTGTTTGGATATTTGTTGTTAAATAAACGACAAACTTCTATTTGTGTGCGAGCTCTGTCCCCGTAACTGATCATTATCAAAATTTCGATTCTTTCCCTTTCACTCAAACGACGGACCATTTTCAAATAAAATGAATTCTGATAGAGTAATGATTAATTAACTTAAAATAAAACACAAACTTGCGAGGACAAACTTCAAAATTCTGACAGCTATCAAAACTGTAATTTTTCCAGCGCTTCATTGATAAATGATTAGTATTTTGTCATCGCTTGTATAATGCATTCTTGAAACTTTGGAACCGAATATCTCGAAAACTTCCATCTTGAAGGTCATACGTTTTTGACATATTCGTACTCAGAAAAATGTGCTCTATCGAAATCCGTGGAAAAAAATATGGGTTGCCATTTAAAAAAATTGCCGATGACGTCATAGCTCATAAACAAACAAAACAAAAAAAAGTCGATGGCTGAAGAAAGTGACATTTTATAAACTAAAGTTAACGTGTCCGAGGATTTCCTGTCAAAACCCTTCAATAACGATTTATCGAATTTATTCCAAAGTTTACGAGCTCAGTGAAGAAGCCGAATAAAGTTATGTCTCGGTTAAAACGGTATTCTTTCGTTAGTGGTGACCTTTTAAGCTAGTGTCATACCGTATTCAGTACTCCTCGGGCTATAACTTATTGTAAAAATGGGTAATTAAACTAATCATTGTACAATGGAGTTAGAATGTCTTCGAATTTGTTCCACATGGAGACTCGACCCCCAGGGTTGGGGCGTTATAGAATCAAGTCACCATATTGGATGCGCCATCTTGAATTTCATTTGGATTCAACGACTTCAGCAATCTCAGAATTGTTTATAGCAGAAATGTGTGATTAATAGTTCCCTTCGGCCTGCGGGCTGAAAAATAAGTGTTACAGCGGTCATAATTTGAAAAAAAAATTATCGAAAACATTACACTAAGGGGGGTTTATATGCGCAATTTTTTGTTCGGTATTTTAGAAAATCTAAGTGAGTTAGAAACAATATCTCTTCACTGTACCAATTATATAAGTTTTCTTCGGGGTATAAGACAACTGATAATTCAAAATAAGGAAAAAGAAGCCTATTTTTACCTGGTAAGTTTATCTTACGTTTGCTGATTTTCGCATACCTGTTGAACTTACAGAAAATCGCGTACTATAAACATAATCCCAGCCCGCAGAATGCTTTTAGGAAACAATTAACACATGCATTAATAAAAATTGTTGAGTATCCTTACAAATTTGCTAGACAAAACAAAAAAAGTATATTTTCTGATTATTACATATTCTCTGTAATCTTTCAATGCAAGAAATTAAAGGAACTTACTCTAGTTTAGCGTTACGCTTCGTCACGTCTTGGATAGATTTATTTGTTCTATCATTATTTTACTAAAAGTGCTATTTCTTGTCTATAAAATTCTAGCCTCAAATGATAAGATTTTTATTCATATTTTCTTCTAGCTTTATGTAGTTTTGAACATATTTTATTATTTCTAAATTCCAACATCTTATTCTGTCAGNAGAATGTCTTCGAATTTGTTCCACATGGAGACTCGACCCCCAGGGTTGGGGCGTTATAGAATCAAGTCACCATATTGGATGCGCCATCTTGAATTTCATTTGGATTCAACGACTTCAGCAATCTCAGAATTGTTTATAGCAGAAATGTGTGATTAATAGTTCCCTTCGGCCTGCGGGCTGAAAAATAAGTGTTACAGCGGTCATAATTTGAAAAAAAAATTATCGAAAACATTACACTAAGGGGGGTTTATATGCGCAATTTTTTGTTCGGTATTTTAGAAAATCTAAGTGAGTTAGAAACAATATCTCTTCACTGTACCAATTATATAAGTTTTCTTCGGGGTATAAGACAACTGATAATTCAAAATAAGGAAAAAGAAGCCTATTTTTACCTGGTAAGTTTATCTTACGTTTGCTGATTTTCGCATACCTGTTGAACTTACAGAAAATCGCGTACTATAAACATAATCCCAGCCCGCAGAATGCTTTTAGGAAACAATTAACACATGCATTAATAAAAATTGTTGAGTATCCTTACAAATTTGCTAGACAAAACAAAAAAAGTATATTTTCTGATTATTACATATTCTCTGTAATCTTTCAATGCAAGAAATTAAAGGAACTTACTCTAGTTTAGCGTTACGCTTCGTCACGTCTTGGATAGATTTATTTGTTCTATCATTATTTTACTAAAAGTGCTATTTCTTGTCTATAAAATTCTAGCCTCAAATGATAAGATTTTTATTCATATTTTCTTCTAGCTTTATGTAGTTTTGAACATATTTTATTATTTCTAAATTCCAACATCTTATTCTGTCAGCCATATTAGGTACGACATTTTGACCTTTCCGACGTCACATTCGTANTTGTCTATAAAATTCTAGCCTCAAATGATAAGATTTTTATTCATATTTTCTTCTAGCTTTATGTAGTTTTGAACATATTTTATTATTTCTAAATTCCAACATTTTATTCTGTCAGCCATATTAGGTACGACATTTTGACCTTTCCGACGTCACATTCGTAAACAGCGACCCCAAAAACCTGCAAACCAGTGAGAATTTAGCTGTTTGTAATTCGATTCTTCTCTCTTTTTTAGTTTTCACCTCATGCTAGTCAATTTCGTCCAGTATGCCAAACTAATCAATTTGAACAGCGATTTCTCGAAGGGGAAAGAAGATATTCTAACGATTCAAAATTTCAAACGATTTTGAAGGGGAATAGTAGTATTTTTAGATGCCATAACGAGTTTTGTAGGGAAAATTACCTCGTTATGTAACATAACCTCAAATATAGCGCGAAACTGCATTTTCGCTCTGTTGGGTTAGGATATTCAGAAAATCTGAAATAATGAAGCAATTGTGTGATCGACCTCAGATTTAGTGCATCAAAAACCTTCCAAATGAATAGCCCGCTTCCTGCCCTGCCCTGCCCACACATTTACGACGGCCCAGTATCGACAATTTTGAGTTCTCATCATCGTTACAGCGATTTTGCATTAATTCGCAAAATAAATGGAGAAATACATAAAGAAGGTATTATAAAAACTATTTGGAATGTTACAGCTAAAAGTATTGTACTGGAATTAGTACAAGTATTGTACTGGAATTAGTACAGTAAGATAGTAAACCCTTTTACATATACTACTTATGTTCTTATTGATTAATAATTACTAATTAAAATTACTCGTACAAATACGTATTGTTAAAAAGAACACAAATCGAATTTAATTCAGTTTAAGTTAATACAAAGATATGGACAA